TTATTGTTTATAAAAAAAGAAACCTCATTAACCCATAAAAATACACTATTTTGACATGTAGGAGAGATAAAATTTGAAACAAAAAATGTGAAATTATTTCATTAATAATATGGGTGATTCTTGTAAGTGGGTTATTTTTGCAATTAATATAATATTGTGCATAAAATTTACTCAATTGTGAAATTATAAAAATTGCAATTAAGTCCTACATTTTTTAAATCAAAATATTGTTTATAAAAAAAAAAAACTCATGAACCAATAAAAAGACATTATTTTGACATGTAGGAGAGATAAAATTTTAAAATCAATAATGTCAAATTAATTAATTAATAATATAGATGATTATGATAATTTGGATTTTTTTGCAATTAATATAATATTGTGTATAAAATTTAATGAACCCAAAAAAAGAATTAACGTATTTATTATGAAAAAATGGATTAAAAAAGGAAACTAAATAACCAATAAAAAGACACTATTTTGACATGTAGGAGAGATAAAATTTAAAAATTAATTATGTGAAATCAATTACATAATAATATGGTGATTATGGTAAGTGGGGTTATTTTGAAATTAATAATAAAATGTGGACTCAATCTCCTCAATTAGAAAACTTTGATTGTGTATCTTAGTTTTATATATAATATAGATTTGATTCTTCATATCTTTGAATCTAGAAACATTGAGAACTAATTAGTAATTTATTCTCTAGATATTAAATTAATATTTTAATATAACAAGATTTTTAACCAAAAATTACATTTTATCAAAAATACTTATGTTGTTGTTAACCTTATATTAAGATTTATAATAATTATTATGTGTACCTCAACACCTTCTTAGCAGCAATGGAAGTTCCATTATGTACATGCTTTGCTTGTTGGTGATTAACAATGGAAGTTCCATTTAATGGTCATTTTGACCATGTTGGAATAATCTAGTGTTTCGCATTTGAAGTACGTATTATGTATTGAACAGAATGAACAATTGCTTACCACGTCTTGAATCTTGATTACTAAATTCCAATTATTCACGATTAAATGGAATTTTATAAAGTGTAAAAATGTGTATGCAAATGTCATAACTAATCAATTTCATTGTGTTAATTTACAAATTGATGTGTTTGCAAAGCAAACTCTCACTTTTATAAAATATAAAAAATGTCTTTATAAATTTGATTGAAGGGAAAAAAAATGTTTAGTACAAAATATGGCTTAAAAAGCTTTATTTCAAGAGTAACAAAAGGCAAAGTTGTATTCGCAAACACTCGGGGAATCTGAATATGCAAAACGAAAAGTTGTAGCAACACAACCTGGCTTGAATATAATTTGGTCATTATATTTATTACAACAAAAAAAAGGAGATTTTCAGCCAAATAATGTTGATCTAAATATAGAATTAAATCAGCATGATTCAGAACTCCCTTTTAAAGATAACACTATATGGCTTCATCTAGAGAACTTGCTTTTTGGTAATTATCACCAACAAAGGCCAACAATACCAAATTAGAATAACAATTTGCAAATCAAGATATTGCTACTTGTTTTGATTTTATACCCTCAAATTTTTCCTACCAATGCAAAGTTTCAGAATAAATTAATAAACTCAAAAACCTACAAGATATTTAGTCCCTAATATGTACCACCACACACATACACAAAAAAACACACATTAATTTGTATTAGCTAAAAAATATTGTATTAGCTTAAAAAAAGAAAATGTGAGAACTAACCAACTACTTGGAGGAGGAAGCACTAGGGTAGTCCTGCAAAAGGTCATCATATGGATCGCGACGCCCTGCAACTTAGCTAATCTGAGCATCCCAGAAAATCTGAGCATTGTGGCGCTCAAATGTCCAGAAACCGTAGGGGCGCAGTGGCAGATTATAAAGTGCCAAAAATTTCTTGCCCTTATCATATTTATCGTAAATTCGCTCCCTCGATTTCCTGTCTCTCTCATTTGGATCCTCCATCAATCTCAGTATCAAGTTCTCTGCAAACTCCATTATGAACCCCATCTGCAAATCTGGCAAGAAAAACACAGTATTATTTTGATTTGATTAATTATTTTGTAGAGGAAAAAAACAGAAGAAATTCCTATTTTTTCTTCATTCGAAAAGCATCAACATGGAAATATTCCAATAATGTACAATACATTTTTTTTTCGTTTTTTTTCTTAAAACCGAACATTTTTAGAAGCTTCCATCAAGGTTCTTAAACTGGACTTTGAGATCCAAAGATAACCCATGGGTAGGGGTGGAAATCGGACAGATCGGATCGGATTTGGGTGTTTCGGAAAAATTCCGATTCCGATTCTGATTTTTTCGGAATTTTTTTGGAATTTTCTGACTTTTTCAAAGAAAAAAATTCTTTAAATAATTAACATGAACAGAAAAAGAAAAAGAAAAAAGAAAGAAAAGATAAACTACCAGTAGACTACAGTCTTACAGCCCTCCAAAACAACAGATTGATTGATGAATTGAAAGAAAAAAAAAAAACAGTACAGTGCAAAACTACTTCTTCAAAAAAAAAAATCACTTCATTGCTACAACCCCAACAGCCCCCCAAACACAGTAGCTTGATTGCTGAATTGAAAAAAAAAAAAAAAAAAAAAAAACAGAACCAACATCTTCATATTACAATTTAACAGTACAGCTTTTCTTCAAACAAAAAAGATTTCCTTCAACCAAAGAAAAGAACACACCTGCTTAGGATCAAAACATCAACAATACGACTCCAAAACAACATAAGAAAAACGATTCAAGTCTTAAACAACACGAACTTCAAATATAAAGAAGAAAAACAAACAACCATCCTTAACCTTCAATCCATTGAAAAAATGAGCAAATATATTAACATTTTTTGCTAGAAACAATTGTAATAAACTAAAAAATTAACCAATCATGAGCACACACTAAAGCTTCCACGAGTCTTGATGTTAATGAGCTAAGGATTTTAACCATTTTAACTGTTGTCTTAACAGATTAACATCTAATCAAAGGAACAGAAAGGTCAAAAAGAAAGCAGTGCAGTGCATCATTACCTGGACAAGGATAGCTGCTTTAGTTTTCGTTCTAAATAGGAGCTCAGTGCAAGCAGCCATCCCTCGCATACCTGCTTGGATGAGAATTGCAGAAGAGGACAAAAGTGCATAAGCTCTTCTAGCAAGAAATCTCTGTGCTTCTTTCTGGATGGTCAAAGAAGCAGAATTTCTCCTCCTGTGCCAATAAATATGACAAGCAAATTGCTAATAAAATCTACTTTACTTGAACTAATAAAATCTACTTTAAAGTTGCTTATGATTTCCCCAACAATATCCGAAGCCCTAGTAACAAATGAAACAATTTAACTTAGAGATGATTAGCACCTAAAACCAAGATAAATAACCTCAGCTGCAGTTGTTAAATGGCTCTGATCTGGTAATAAAACTTATAACTAACATAAATACCAGTATTTGAAGAAGAAACGAATAATACAATAATAAAAGAGAGAATTTGAAGAACAAAAACATGACCGATGTTTCTTCAAATCTTTTACACATAGACAAAAGCAAAGCTTCTACTAAGGAGATTTATTCTAGCAACAGTCTCTTTGGAAGAAGAGAGGAAATGGAGGAAATGCTCAAACGGAAAACAAATACATTAGTCCGGTAAAATAAGTATAGAAATCAAAATCAATCATAAACTTTACAGTCTTCTTAGGCCCAATGTTGTCAAGTGCAGGCTCTTCTCTCTCTTCCTTATCTCTTTTTTTGTACTCTTCCTTATCTCTTCTGTATTTGTCAATATCAACGGGATATATATCTAGTATCACGTGGAGATTTTTGGTCGTCATATGGGGTGGATGGAGCTGTGCATGCAAAACACCGATATAATAAACACCATCTTTACAACCTAAGGATGTGATGTCTGGATAAACTCTGCCACCGAATATTAGATCCATTTTTCGAACTTCTCTTCCATAAGCAGCATCATATGGAAAAAATGATAGGGGGAGATAATGTATTTGACCACGATCTTTAATATCATAAGCCAATCGAGGTGTGAAATAAACCCCACCAATGCCTACAAAATAGCCATCATCATCCAGAGGAATCTTAAAATCAGGCGATACTTCCCATTCTTTGGTACTAGCTTTAAGATCGAGGACAAATGCTTCATTCTCCATTTGAATCCAAAAACGGGAGTCGGTCTCAAATCCATAACCTTCAATTCGCAAAATAGAACTTGAAGGACGACGTTTAGAGGGGAATCCCGGGAGAACTTCCCACGAGTTTCCATCAACATCATACAACTCAAAACTATCACCAAAAAACCCATTATCAGTCCAAGTGATTTCTGATGAAAAAACTAAAATACTGTTACCATCTGGTGTGGGAAGAGCTTTAACAGAATATTTATTGGCATGCATAACCTCGATGTCAAGCAGATCCTTGTTCTGCAGAGTGTGACAATCGGATCTATCAAATATGTCATCAGTTATCACAAACTTGCCTGCAAACTTTGGTCCTTTACTGACGCGGCCTCCGGGTGAGAGGTGGTCATCTCCCTCAAACATATATAGTATGGATGGTCTGATATGTGTGGATTTGATAGCACAAAACGTCACAGGAGGAGAATTTTGTTCCAATTTGTATCGAATTTTGGGTTCCATATGAGTGAATTCATCGCCGCCGCCGCCGGAGGATGAATCACAATCCACAATATAAAATATAAATTCGTCACCGTCGTCGTCTGGCGCAAATGCCAAGCAATGAGAAACAACACAGACTCTTCGAGGTGATAATTTCTGCCTTTTAACTGATTCAATTGCTGAAGTTTCGTGTTCCATTTTGAACGCCGCTGTGATTGAATAATTGAGAACCAAAATTTTATGGAGGTAGGTTTACGGTGGTAGGGCTTGGGAGAAGAGAGAGCCGCAATTTCTTTGTCTATCAATTTATATAGAGTAAATAGCACTTACCCCTGTGGTTATATGCTTTTGCAGATGACCCCCTCGCGGTTCTTATATGAGTTATATCAGCACATAACCCCTTGTGGTTTGAATGGGTAGCGCCGTTAAGTTTTCCATCTAACTTAACTGTGTGTGTATGTTAAGCGTGCGGAAATCAAGTGAGCACCTCAATTCAGTTTCTAGCTATGTAGCACGGAAACGGAAACCGCGATATGGGGAAACGGATACGGGGAAACGGTATGTTCCAAAAATAGGGATAAGGGAATTTGAGGGAAACGTGTAAATATTAAAAGTATAGGGGTATTGCGTAACAACAAAGGCCTCGTTTGCTTACAGGATTGGATTAGATTGGATTGGATTAATTCCCTACTGAATAATTAATTACTTAGTCAATAACATGTTTGATTTATTAGATTACATCTTGTATTAAATTTGTTAAATTCTGGTATTGTATGTGAATTGCCCATAAAGTCTCTAACTTCACAAAATTATGTTATTATGTCAAGAATAAAATCGTATTTTTCTGTTTTAGTCACCCCCTACAAAATTATTCGCAGGGGGGAGAGGTGTTACTAATTAAATGAAATAGTAGCACTTAATTGCGGGCTTTCATTTTAGTAGCGGGCTAGAATAATTTGAATCTTACAAACCAAACATCTTATTAACTCCTACTATTTAGTCAATCTAACCTAATAGTAGAAAGCAAACGAGGCCAAATTCTTATCTGCGATTAAACAAACAAGAAAAATTGAACAAAGATTATTTTATTAAATCGAAATTAAAAATATGCAGGTTACAATCTCTATTTTATCCTCTGATTCTTCTCTCCTATTCGATATGTGGTTGATTTTGAATTTTGGAGATGAGTCGTTGACTTGATCTTCTCCGGACTTTTGAGTTTCGGAGACGGGTCGTTGACTTGATCTTCTCCGGACTTGATTTTGACTTTGACTAACGTTTTCCGAGGGTCTCGCGACTTGAATCTCGGATCGAAAGCTGAGCTTTGACGAGTTTTGACTTCAAGATCTTAGAGTTCTTGATATATTTGGTCCTTCGATCTTCTTTCGAACTTGATAACGTTGATTCGAGGGTTTAGCACCGTTGTCTCGGATCAAACGCCGTATTTGATGAAGAACGTCTTGAATTTGCCTTGAATTTGATGAAAAACACTTCGAATGTAGAGAGAGAAATTTACCTCCTACGAATTCTTCTTCCTTGCTCCTTGAGTTGTAGAGAGAATTTGCTCCTACGATTTCTGCTTCTCAATTGTGTTTTTGAATTGTGTAGGGAGGTCCCTTTATATAGTGGTAGAACAAGAGTCCTTGATAAGCCTTCTTGATGGCCACGATTTAATTGGCTATCTTTAAATTGATATTTATCTCTTATGAATTGAAAGGGAAGAAATAATCCTATTGGCCAAAGATTAATTCATATTTATCTCTTATAACTTGGAAGAGAAGAATTAATCTTATTCGTCAATATATATATATATATATATATATATATATATATATATATATATATGGAAAAACATTATAAACGGACGCTCCGTTTCTTTGGAAATAACGGATTCCACTCAAGAGCTGACATGTGGACAAAACTTAGCACTATTCTCTCCCTTTATGAGACCCACTTTTAAAAACAATTATTTTTTTGCTTTTTAACTCCATTTGGTCGGTAAATAAAATAACAATCTATTTCTTTCCTTTTCATTTTTTTCTTAATTTAATAATTCTATTAAATTTAATGAAAAATATTAATTATAGTTTTAAATATGCTATATGAAATAATATTAAATTCTTAGTTGATATAATATATAACAATTATGTGTAACATAAAAAATTAATTGAAAAAATCACTTAGAAACAAATAATTCTAGTGCATACAACCAAACAAAATTTACATAAACTTAGTTTAATGGTATTTACTCAAGAAAAATAAATATTATTTTGCATCTCAATTCAATTTTATTTATGTTGTTCAACCGAACAAATGGTCTAAACTTGTTTATAATGTATTTTTTTCTCTGTTATTTAATTGTGAAAATTTTCTTATATATTGAATTAACTATTCTATATTAATAGCTGTAATTAAATATAATTATTGTGGTGGTTTTAATGCTTCCTCGGATATATAGTTTTATAACTGGGTCCCACCAAGTTAGAGAATATTTATCAAGTTTGCCACGTGTCGCGTACTGAATGGCGTCCGTTTTTCTAATTGAAACGGAGCGTCCGCCTCTAATGTTTACCCATATATATATATATATATATATATAATATCAATGAACTATTTAATTTAGGGATTAATTCAATTAAATCCTCAAAATATAAATAGAAAATACGTAATTGATATTTAATATATATACATATATACGTGTACATCATTTATCATGCATGAGATTGATTCAATCCTCAAATCAATAATTACATTTTTGCCATTAAAATTTATTCGTCTACAAATGCCCCCTCGAGACTTGTTCACGGACGATGTATTTTGAAGTGAATAAGTCACGAATATATTGGGTTGATTTATAAACATGATTGGGCTTGGAGTTCTGAAATCCATTTAACTGAATTTGGATTAATTTGCCTCCTAATCAACCGGCCCATCACTTTATTCGAGCCCAGAACTCGAAGTTGAATTATGTGCTAGACATAAAAGAGAATTGATCGGGCCTACTAACATAAATTTTTAATTCACTTGGACCTTTAAACCGTTTGTTTCGAAGAGATAGGCTCTTCGCAAGAGAATTATTTCACCAGAAGGTCATCATGAGGCTTCTCCAAATCAATTAGAGTTGGACTCATTATCCCATATAAACTGGAAATCTATCTCCCACTTGGATTGTACTTCTTCTTGGATTGAATGATCTGAATCCTAGCTTTAGTTGAGCTGTTCTCTCCTCGTGCCTGTAAAAGGAACCTCCCATGCATCCTTCCATTCATCAGCTTTCAGCCCTTTTGTAGAAGAATTTTCAGCATCTTCTCCAGCTCTTTTTTTCTTCTTCTTCTCGGTGCTCTTTTTTTTTTTTTTTACTAAATTTCGGGTAAGCTTGTTATAACAAATTTTTGCATTATCAGTTTTCTTGAGCGCGTCCGCCAAGTGTTCGATGAATTGATAATAAGAACTGCCTATATATATATATATATATTTCTTCTATTCCAACATGTTGCTTCTTCCTTGAATTTACAAGTCTTCTTTTCTTCGTTCAGGTTTCACGACTTGAGGAATTTTGTACGAAAATTGGCGGATTATTTGATTATTTGGCGGATATATATAATATCAATTAACTATTTAATTTAGGGATTAATTCAATTAAATCCTCAAAATATAAATAGAAAAATACATAATTGATATTTAATATATATATACGTGTACCTCATTTATCACGCATGAGATTGATTCAATCCTCAAATCAATAATTACATTTTTGCCATTAAAATTTATTCCTCTACATGTATATTTATAAATATTCTATATAAACATATATAAGTTTTTTCTTATATATAAATTCTTTTTATATATTTTTATACAAACATATTCAAAATAAATTTTACTATCAAATATCAACTTGCATTTGATCATTAAATCATGTAAATAATTTGACAAATAACAAAAATATTTAAAAAAATGATATTCAAACATGTTTTTAACTTTTTAGAAATTGCAAAATGGCCCATAAGGTGTCCGGCAGGTGTCTTTGAGTTTCCGACACGAAACGTTTCCGAAACCCGAGAACATTAACAAGTTGAAGTTTTCGTGCTACATAGGTTTCTAGACTTCTGAAAATGGCCATATTACCCTTTTTTTCTTGAAATAAGTACCCCTTTCATTTATTCACACAATTCACTTGTTCACCTCCTCACCCACCTCTCTCTTCACCCACTTCTCTCTCTTTCTTCCATGGTATATTTCTAAAGTTATTTTATCACTGAAAGAAAAAAAAAACAGAATATTAAAACAATATATATGTATATATATATGACATAAAGAAAATATATATACTTCACAGAGAAATAAAACAATGACACAATTTTACTTTGAAGCATAATATAAAAAACCCCAATTTTCCATTCGAAAATCTATATTAAATCCATATTTTGCATAATATCGAAAACCCCCAGTATTTTATTCTGAGAACCCCAATTTCTTTAAAACAAATCACACTTTCTTCTGAAAATCCCAATTTCAGTTCGAAAACCCAAATTTCTTCGAAAGATCACAATTTCAGTTCGAAAACCCAAATTTCTTCGAAAGATCACAATTTCAGTTCGAAACCCCTGATTATAGTTCAAAACCGAGTAAATTGCAAAAATACCCATGTGTAATCTCTAAATAGCAAAAACCCCCCTGTGGTAATAAACTAGCAAAAACCCCATTGTGAAATTATTTAAATAGCAAAAACCCCCCTATGCTTGTTTTTAGACGTGAAATGACGACATTGTCCCTCAAAATGTATTTTTATGTATATATATTACATGTATATATATTTTTTCTTTTTAATTTGATTGTTTAGAAATTAAAATATTATTAAAAAAATAGTAAACAATTAAGATATAACAAAAATAAAATAATTAAAATATTTATAAAATATAAGAATTTATTAATTTCAAAATCCTAGGGGTATTTGTGTCTTTTTATATCAAGAAAACACTCAAATAATTTCATAGGGGGGTTTTTGCTATATAAATAATTTCATAGGGGGGTTTTTGCTAGTTTATTTATCACAGGGGGTTTTTGCTATTTACAGATTACACAGGGGTACTTTTTGCATTTTACTCTTCAAAACCCCCAATTTCTTCGAAAAATCTAAAATCAGTTCTAAACCCCAAATTTCAGTTCGAAAAACCCTTTGACAACCCCTAATTTCAGTTCGAAATTCTTAAGTAAAAACATGTTTACGGCAAAACCCCACTCAAAGAAATTTGTGTTTGTCTAGAACTTACTTTGAAATTACCATTCCGAATATCTTTAGTTCCTTCTCCTTAGAATTGTGTACATAAGCTCAATTTTTTTTATGAGATTAAGAGAG